TTAAGGCAAAGAAGTGGAATGTTCTGCAATGGCCAAGTCATATCATCTGACCTGAATCCAACTGAGCATGCGTTTCTCTTGCTGAAGCCAAAACTGAGGGCAAAACACCCAAAACACAAGCAGGAAGTGCAGACGGCTGCAGTAAAGGGCTGGCAGAGCATCACCAGGGAAGAAGCCCAGCATCTGATGATGCCTATGTGTCCAACACTTCAGGCAGTCATTGACTGCAAAGGATTTGCAACCAAGTATTAAAACTGACTGTTTAATTGATGATTATTTTAATTTGTCCAAATACTTATGAGCCCTTAAAGTTGGGGGACTGTGTGAAGAAATGGTTGTCATTCCTACACGGTTCATACTACATTTTTGAAAAAAGCCTTAAATGAAAGCTAAGAGTCTGCACTTTAAGCAGGTATTCATTGTTTCATTTAAAACCCATTGTGGTGGTGTACAGAGCCAAAATGACGACAACTGTATCATTGTCCAAATAATTATGGACCTGACTGTATAACATATGTACGAAAAAAATTGACGAGGAGCATTGCAGTTCTGGGCAAAAAGACATACCATAGATACTGGATCATAAAGCACTGCATACTCTGTACTGTTCTTTGATATTGCCATATTTAAATTATTCTGTTGAGGTCTGGGGAAACACCTACAAAACCACCCTACAACCATTATTCATACTGCAAAAAAGAGCCATACAAATTTTACTTAACGTTGGATATAGGGAACACACTAATAATCTGTTTTTGAAGTCACATGAACTGAAATTTATGGATCTGGTGGGCTTTAAAACTGCTCAAATCATGTACAAAGCAAGGAATAATTCACTACCTGGCATTGGAGGAGCGGGTATGTATGAAACAGTTTGAGTAGTGATAGATTAGTATATGCCTGTGGATATTCTCATTCATCCAGGTCATAGTTATCTCAAGGCAATTGAATCGAACGCAACTGGACTTGGTTTTGTCTTAGAAGACGTTTCACCTCTTATCCAAGAGGCTTCATCAGTTCATGCTTGTCTAACTAGGCTGGAACTAGTCTGACAAACTGGTGTGGAAGCACCCAGATATTTAACCTCTGGGGAGGTCTTCACAAGGCCTAACGACTCTAAAAAAGACTCTAACGACTCCAGTGACAACCGTTGCAGCAGGAGTTTCAACGACTGTCGTTGACACACCATTGGAGCACTAACGAACCAGTGACATCATTGGCCTTGTGAAGACCTCCCCAGAGGTTAAATATCTGAGGTTAAATATCTGAGTCAGACTAGTTCCAGCCTAGTCTGCATGAACTGATGAAGCATGAACTGATGAAGCCTCTTGGATAAGAGGTGAAACGTCTTCTAAGACAAAACAAAGTCCAGTTGCGTTCGATTCAATTGCCTTGAGATAGATTAGTATAGTGTGAGAGTAGGGGTAGAACTAGACAAGCATGTTTCTTCTTCCTACACTTTTTCGGATAGGAAATATTGTATGTATTGTCTTGACATAAATAGAGACTTGACATTGAACAACATCAACATTACCCAGCAATCGTCTTTGCTTATCTGAGAAAAAAATGAATAGTTTTTACAATGGTCACTTAGGGTCAACAACCCAGAGCAACAGAGAGTGTAGAAAAGAGGTGCGAGCAAGTTGGAACGGGTGGAGGAAAGTGTGTGATGTGTGATAGAAGAGTACCTGCAAAACTAAAAGGAAAGGTGTACAGGACGGTGGTGAGACCAGCGATGTTGTTTGGTTTAGAGACAGTGGTGCTAGGGAAATGACAGGAGGCAGAGCTGGAGGTAGCAGAGATGAAGATGTTGAGGTTCTCTTTGGGAGTGACGAGGATGGATTGGATCAGGAATGAGTACATCAGAGGGACAGCTCATGTTAGGTGTTTTGGAGCTAAAGTCAGAGAGGCCAGACTGAGATGATTCGGACATGTTCAGAGGAGGGATAGTGAATATATCAGTAGAAGGATGCTAAGGTAGGAACTACAAGGAAAGAGGCCTAGAGGAAGACCAAAGAGGAGATTTATGGATGTAGTAAAAGAGGATGTGAAGTCAGTTGGTGTGAGAGAAGAGGATGCAGAGGATAGGGTTAGATGGAGGCAGATGATTCGCTGTGGCGACCCCTAAAGGGAACAGCCAAAAGAAGAAGAAGAAGATTGAATAGTTTTTATGGTATGAAATGATGTAATGTGTTTCTGACTTTGAACATCCTACCTTAGAGACGAGCAGTGTTTAAGTGTCGACAGAGCGCATGAGAAAATCTGTCTGTCCTTTCAAAATAGCTGACCTGAGCTAAGTGGGGTCTGGGGGTACCCCAGTTGGTAGAACGAGGGTTAATGTTTCTCCGATCCAGCAAAAAGAAAGTACATTCTCAAGGAAAAGAGGTAAAGATAATTAGGAAAAGAAGTGAGAATTGATGCAGAGCTTTGGTCAGAACTGTGCCAACAAAGTGTCAGCCACTAAGGATGATAGATACAGATTGATGCATTATAACTTCATTCACCAACTCCATTTCACACAACAGAGACTGCATAGATACAGACCTGGGCTATGAAATATGTGTTTTAGATGTAGCATAGATGGCGTGTAATGTCCAGTTGAGATAAATATAGAGAACAGGAAACTAAAAAAACAATAAGAAATAAATATATAGAGTGGATAAGAAAGAAAAAAACACACACATTGGCAACCAAAATGTCACAAACATGAGGATGTGATGCACCATGGATGGGCCCTACTCACCTCATGTTAAGAACATAAGCTATGAGTCAATTCCCTTCTGCTGGGTTGTGGACCATTTGTCGAGAAATGGTTTCCAGATTTTCAGGAAGATGTTTTCCTTGTTGGCAAGTTTCTATGGAAGGCCTTCCATATGAATCATGTTGCCAAGCTCCCTCAGCCGTTGGTGGAAAGAGGGGCCAGACTCTGACTTCCAATTTTGCTAGCACAGAGAGAGCCTGAGCAGTGTGAGGTCACAGATAACCCAAATATGGCGAGAAAAGGGTCTGGCGTTATCCTTTTTTTTTAAAAACTATAAACCTTTGGTGTATAATTAAATATAGGCAACCAGAAGGAGCAGAGCTTGGGGCACAGCCCTAGTTAATGGGTTAGACGTTAGGATATATAGCATGACATCTTGCTTTTGTGTAGTGGAGTCGATTTATACAATCTTGAATCATACAAGTATGTGCCTGGCATTCATAAATACTGAATCTTACTGGAGGGCTTTGTCCGAACTCTAACGCCACAGACAGAAAGTATTATAGTGTGTTAATGAGCAGGGGTGTCCTAGTAGGGGGGAAGTGGGGCTGATTAGGGCCGGGTTGTGGGGGCAGCAGGCCAAGCAAAGCACATCAAACATCCCTCTTCCCAATAACACTATCTAGCTCCTCCTGTGGGACCCCAAGGTGTTCCCAGGCCAGACAAGATATTTAATCCCTCCAGTGTGTTCTGCATCTGCCCTGGGGCCTCCTACGAGTGAGATGTGCCTGGAACATTTCCAGTGGGAGGAACCCAGGAGGCATCCTGATCAGATGCCCGAACCACCTCAACTGACCCCTTTCGACTTTACTCCAAGCTCCCTCTGGATGTCTGAGGTCCTTACCCTGTCTCTAAAGCTGAGCCCAGCCAACCCCCTGAGGAAACTCATTTCAAGTGATTTGGGCAAACAGAGTCTTTGAGCTAAACATTACCACTAAATGTATATAAAGTGTCCAGCTGAGCAGAACACACCATATGACTGTAGTTTGATTCCAGACAGGGAACTTTGTTTCATGCATTACACTTATTTTTTGTCTCTACACTGTCAGCTAGCAAATAAGTCAAATACCAGAAAACAAAGCTACATTTTGACCACAATACTTGAAGGACCCTTTAGCAAATGCCAAAACAATACACAAAACATCAAGATGCTTGGAAACTGTGTTTAATAAAACTCCATAAATTTAAGTCTATACATCTGACAATTCTGCACTATGAATAAATAAAACATTGTATCACAAAAGGACAAAGTAGGTGGCATACACGAACGTCCCCCATTGTAAAAAATACAGTACTTCAAAATGTGTAGTATTCCAATTTCAATATCTAATTTAATACAGGTGATTTCTTTAAGGTTTAACAAAATGGTCTAAAGTGCAAAAAAGATCAATATGTACTCTATAAAAGTTCATGTGTAAAAAAAACAACAAAAAAAACATTGTTCAGTCATTTTAAAGTTGTCCTCAGCTTTAATGTCTAGTGTGAGCGTTAAGCACCATGATTCCTAACTGTAACAATGTGCCAGATGTTGGGATGCGTCCCAGTAACCAGGTCCTCCTCCGTAGCCAGGACGCACCCACAGATTGGGCCTGGAAGTGTGCGGGGGTCTGCTGCGAGGCCTGTAGCCGTAGTGAGGCCGTGGAAGGATCTGAACTTTCCCTGGTACCATCTTCTTAGGATGCCACGAGGAAGCAGCGGGATTCATTGCCTTAAAAAGGAAACAAATGAAAATCTGTTATTTACAGGGGAAAAAAAAATCACCAAACTTCGAAGATGATAGAAGAACTTATTCTAAACTAACAAAAATAAAGCAGAACTATTTTAGAGTTCACTAACACTGGTATTGAGTAACCATCCTCCTTCAGACCTGCATGAGATATTTAGTCATGGGAATTCTAAAGCGTATTATGCAATACCGTGTAAGAGCAGCGGCTGTTGGGGACGGTGAGGGGGGAAGTGCGCGTGCTCTCCTCATCAGAAGAAGATCCTGAGTGGTAGTCTGACGTCACCCTCTCCAAAGCACTGGTCACTTTTGTAACATCTTTGTCCTCCTCTTCATCATTAGAGAAACTGGCCACTGAGAAACAAGGATTTTGCTCTCCGTACCTAACAATGTGAACAGAGGGCGAGCACACCAATAGTTTTAGAACAATAGATACACGTGAAAGGAAATCTGTTTAAAAATGAACAATTATTGAACAGCTGGGCAGGGAAAAATTAATGGTTTTTATTGTACTGGATTATGGCGCAAAATGATCCCCATAAGTGCAGAGCTGGAACAACACACTTAGCGGGGTGTTATTCTGGTCAAGTTCAGAGCTCAATGGGAATCAATGGCTGCAGATACTAGTAAAATTTGAACAATTATAGACCGAATCATCGTGATGTTACACTGACAACCACAGTCCCTTCCAGGTAGATTACTGGGACCAGTTGCACCTTAAGTTTTCTCCTTACGTAAAGGCTTAATTTCTCCTTAGCCGAGGAATTTACAGTTGCACAGAATCCCTTACAAGTGTCCTTTGTTGAGGAAAAACTAATTTACTACATTGAAATAGATTTTACAGTACAGTAAAAGTTTCCATGGAGATTGTTTGTTTGCGTGAACTCACTTTTGTGATACAGGTTATCGTCTCACAAAGTTGGCTCATACTGAGATAGTCAAAATATGGTGGTAGAAAAGATGACAAGAAAACCAAATTGGTCAGAGGAGGAAAAGATTATATTTCTGGAGGAATACAATCATAGAAAGCACAAAGTAAATTTGATCCCATATACCAGAAAACAACTGTCGGAAGAAGCAACAAAAATTTATTTAGTCAAATCTATTGTGTAAAATGAAAAGCGTATCTATCAGGTTCTCCTGGTCGCAGAACACTCTTTTAGGGGTGTATTAGTTTTAATTTTCCCTATTATTACCATAAACTTGGTCATGTTGCAGTTAAGATAAAGCTGTTGTTTGTTTACCTTGCTTTGGTTGCTAAGGACTTCTGTGCAACAGTCTAGAGATTCCTTAAATATAAGACCAAGACAAGGAGAAAACCATAAATACTTAAGTGAACATTTCCAGGAATTCTTAATGAGTAGACTTAAGGATGTTTTGTGCGCATGTGTTCCCAAGTGCCTGTTTTTCAGGGGACAGTGGCTGTGCCCGAAGATTAACTGACACAGAAAAGGCACAAGAGTAGCACCCAGCGCCTGACCTCGCGTTTTCCAGGTGGTTAAAGATGCAGTATGTGTACGCCCCCCTTAAACTGATATTGGTGGCTAAAAAAAAACCCAAAACACTAACTGAGGCAGCGTTTGTTCAGCACCGTTTGGTTTTATATACGTGACATGGATATTTTAAACAAATAAACATTAAGTAAACTTTGTGATTCGAGCTATTCTAACAACAGGCTGATTTTTTTAATCTTTCTACCATCACATTTCCAAAAGGACTGCACACTTATTTAATTGTTGATTATTTCCTCGATTAATCAGGTAGTTGTAAGCTCAAGATGACGTCGTCAAGTGCCTTGTTTTGTCCACAACAACAGAGATATTTAGTTTACTGTCACAGGAGTAAAGAAGCCAGAAAATATTCACATGTATAAGAAGCTGGAATCAGAGAATTTTGACTTTTAATTGTAACCAACTGTCAAATTAGTTGATGATAAATATAATAGTTGACAACCAATAATTTGCAATAATTTGTTGCAGCTCTTATTTCCAATGAGTCTTTGAAATATCTGCTCCAGTTTTGAATTCTAGAACTATTCGTCGTTTTTATTGAATGACAAATTCCTTTAAATTTTGTCTCAGCTCTTCACTGCAAATTCACTCCAGGTCTCACCTGCAACAGACCTCCCCAGGGTCCACCCACAGTGTGAGTTCACGGGACAATCCCAGGTCACTATACTCAATCCCGCTCTCCCGGCAGGCCCGAAGGAGCTCTGGATCCTGCCTGTGGAACCTGTTTACGCGGATACACCTGCAGAGCACACAACCAGTTTCAGTTTAAACAGTCCTAACACCATCTCTACAAATTAATGAAAAGACAACCATAAAAAAAAAACCTGTAGTGGTTAATAGCAGCACCTGTATGCCTGTCCCTTGCTGGGGTTGTCGGGGTACCAGTGCCCCTTGAACTTCTCCTGCAGTGCAACAGCAAGCCTCTCAACAAACAGGTCGATCTTGTGTGACTCCAACTTCTCCCCCTTTTTCACAAGCCTCTTCAGGAAGAATACAACAGCTGCGATTTCTCTCCTCATATTTCACATGTGTTTCATCACGTTTGCACAGCTTCTGTAGGTAAATCAACTTTAGTCAGATGGGCAGCAAGTACACAAAAAATGACCTATGATAAAATGTTAGTTGATAAAAATGTCAAATACTAAAAATGGACATATATATATTTACTTCCACGTGGCAACATTTTCCTTCTCCCATTTTGAAATAATAAGTAGCACAGACAGTTCACATTTTAAGACCTATTACACAACCTGACACCAGGCTTAACTGCACTGAAGATTTTATCCGCCAAGGTTACACCCAGACCATTAAAAACAAGCTGCAGCTAAGACACTTAAGTTATCTTGACATTTTTGAGTCCTTTTCATTAAAGTTAGCTGGTGTCAACGAGCGCGAGGCAACAACTTGTGTTTATTAAATTATTTTGGTTTAAAATTATGAATAAATAGCGCAGAGACAGTGACACATTTGAGCATATTTCCCTTTGTTTTTTTATCTCATCTATTGACTTCAGTTAACGGTCCAGCGACTATAGATGCCCCATAAAGGCGGGCTGTGACACACTAGTTCCGGTTATCCACGCGTCACCGCACTCCATAACAAGGGCTTGTGCACTGTACTTAGCGTGTTAGCTAGTTGAGCTAACGGTGCTAGCATGATGCTAGTTGTGATGCTATCTGTATCGCGCCGAAATAGATTTGAAACTAACCTCGTGGTGAATACACAAGAGTAATGTTATTCCCTTAGGAGAATACGAGGCTATTAGCATTAGCGTCACAGCTAATACATTAACTCTAACAGCCTCATGTTGCTAACAAACACAGCTATCTCTTAGTTAGATACGGTGGCGAAAGTTGGAATGGAGTCGTGATAAATTGTGCTTTTTGACACACACATAACAGTAAGAGACACTTATCTTATATAGTGAGACATGTGTATGTATCTATATGTATATAGGCTTACCTTTTTCGGTGCTCTCCTCCAGCGTGAGGACGTAAAATGAATGGGAAGGGGAAATTGGCCAACAGAAGAACCCTTGAGGTTGGGTTATTAGCCCCGCCCCTTACAGCACAACTCCCGCCCACCAATCATTCTTATTGGTTACAAACAGACCAGTAGTCTGCGTTGATTGGTTGAGCATAATGTTCGTCATGGCGTGACTCATACCAGCTCATTACTGTTATGACTCATAGCGTCAGCATGTGTTTATTGTTTGGCGGACAGTAGCATCCAGTGATGTCATTTCATCATGAAAAATGTAAAGCAAGGTAGAAAATAATTACAGTGCATTATTTTTTAGTGTGATTTTTTTTCCAAGATGATCCAAATTTAGTGTACTCCACTGATGTAACAAACATATTTCTAGTTTAACTTAGAGTGGGGAACCATTAAAGCCAGGTGCTTCCTTTCTAACTACCAGAACTTAACTTGTTTTATTTTATTTTTCAGTATATTTAATTCTATTAAATACATGGAGTCTGCATGTTCCAGATTTTCTGCCATAAAAGCTGTAGAAAATATATTTAAAAATATTTTAAAAATGTTTTAAAAAATCGATTGAACAACATATGAATAAAATGTATAATAATAATAATAATAATAATGATGGTAAACTTTATTTATATAGCACATTTCGTACAAGAAATGCAACACTTTACAATATGGGCATTACAACCACTGAGTGCTTCACACAAACATAGAAATGAACATAAAACAGAACTGATTCATAAAATCACAGAAATACAAAACTACATATCATAAAAAATCAAGTAAGATTTTAAAAGAGTTGCAGCAGTATGAAGCATAAATAGAAAGTAAAAAGAAAGAGTTTCAGACCTGTATCGGAAAGTCAGAGCTAGTTAAAGGCTAAAGTGAACAGATGTGTTTTTAAAGAAAAATCCTCAGGATCTGCTAAACAAATCAAGTAAATCTGAAATGTCATAATAATCTATACCCCACCCAGAGTAACAGTCTGGTACTGGGAGATTTTTAGTGTCTTACCCACTAGTGTCCTCATGAAAGAATAACTGCTGTCCTAAGGGATGAGAGGGAGTCATTTCTTAAGATCTGGAGCCCTTTCCTAAATTATTTACAATCTACACTTAAACAAAGTGTGTGAAAAGGTTGATACCCTTCTGGGTGGAAACAAACTATGCCTAATGCCATGTGAGATTTCCTAAATGCTTATTTTGTAAAACTTTTGGGATCATCTTCAGTCACAGCACAATGTACTACACTTTCTGGGATACCGTCATTGTCAGTACTCCAGTTAACTTTTTTATTGTTTGATTTAATTTAATTTAACTAACTTTATTTTATTTTTTTATTTTATTTATGTCTTCACAGCCACCTGTATGTTATTTTATATCAAATATCCTTTTTTATGTTGTATCTATGGGGTAGGGGCAGTCTCACCGTTCTGTGACACTGTGAGCCGTGTGTTCTGAAAATAATTTAAAAAAAAAAAAAAATTTAAAAAATTTCTAAATAATCTGATAGTTTTGCCAATTTACAATTTTTGAGCTTTAAACTTTAAATAGTAGTCAAGTACGTTTTAAAATGTTTTTTTTTTAATTTGTTAAGCTCATTATTTGCCAGAGTAACTGCTATCAAGTAATTGTGTGAGTCTTTATTGGAGAACTGACAGTGATAATACTGGGAAACCGGAGCAAACTGAAAATATATCATGTACCATTTACAAAAAACTTGCTGAAATTGTTCACCACAGTGACACAGGTACCGAGCAGCATTTATATGCACTCAAACAGTAGCTTATAATGACTTGTTGCAGCCTTATATTCAATATGGTTACATTATTCCATAAAATTTCCTATTTTTGAAGTGATATTTTTAATAGTGAAAGTATTATGCTCAAGATTATCCAACCTGTGTGCATATAACTGTACATGTTTGTTATGTTTACTCTAATTCTATTGTTTTACTCCACTGATGTATATAATGGAGTTCAATTTTCACACTTACAGCCTCGGCACATTTTAGTTTTTATAGCTTAAATACTAGTGTTAAACACGGTAGCCTACTTTATTTATTGTTTGATATTTACACACTTTTATTTCCTACTCTTATTCTTACTTCTTACATCGGAGCAGCTGCAACGAATCATAATCTCTCCTCGGGGATCAATAAAGTATTCCTGGTTCTGATATGATTTCCCGGAAATTACAACCACCAGGCTCATTTGTAGTTCTATATATTTGTCCACAAGGGGGCACACAACCTCCATCTGCCACACAATGCAACATGAGCAACAATGTGTTCAGTCTTACAGTTACTGTTTACCGTCCTGTTGTGCATTGCCTCTGTTGCAAATAGTATCAATCATTAGTTAAATTCTTCAGTATGCATTACTGAATATATGCACTCACCAGCCACTTTATTAGGTACACCTTGCCAGTACCAGGTTGGACCCCTTTTGCCTTCAGAACTGCTTTAATTCTTCGTCTTTGGTCCATATCGACCTGATACCATCACACAGTTGCTGCAGATTTGTCGGCTGCACATCCATGATGAGAATCTCCCGTTCCACCACATCCCAAAGGTGCTCTATTGGACTGAGATCTGGTGACTGTGGAGGCCATTGGAGTACAGTGAACTCATTGTCATGTTCAAGAAACCAGTTTGAGATGATGTGAGTTTGTGACATGGTGCGTTATCCTGCTGGAAGTAGCCATCAGAAGATGGGAACACTGTGGTCATAAAGGGATGGACACGGTCAGCAACAATACTCAGGTAGGCTGTGGTGTTTAAACCATGCTCAGTTGGTACTAAGAAAATCTCCCCCACACCATTACACCACCAGCACCAGCCTGAACTGTTGATACAAGGCAGGATGGATTCATGCTTTAGCCTCAGTTTCCTGTTGTTAGCTGACAGGAGTGGCACCTGGTGTGGTCTCCTGCTGCTGTAGCCCATCTGCTTCAAGGTTGGGCGCGTTGTTGGTTCAGAGATGGTCTTCTGCAGACCTTGGTTGTAACCAGTGGTTATTTGAGTTACTGTTGCCTTTCTATCATCTTGAACCAGCCTGGCCATTCTCCTCTGACCTCTGGCATCAACACTGGATATTTTCTTTTTGTCAGACCATCCTCTGTAAACCCTAGAGATGGTTGTGTGTGAAAATCCCAGTAGATCAGCAGTTTCTGAAACACTCAGACCAGCCCGTCTGGCACCGACAGCCATTTTGTGGCTGTTACATGCCTTTATAATCATGTAAAAAACAAAGACAGCACCCTTCTTCAGCCACAATCAGGAAAATTACAGCACACCACAGTATGTAGTAAAAATAATTTTATTGAAATATTTTACAAAAAAATACAAACTGTCACTTAAGCACAAATCACACAGCATGTGTAAGGTCCATGAACACACACAATAAATAGAATCATCACACAACACAAATGCAGCCTCGTTCGACATCAGAAAACAAATAAACAAAGAGTCAAGTTTAAGGGGAGGAGGCGAAGGTGTAACAGGTATGCTTACATCTCCAGTAAAATATAACGACACAACCAAATATCCAGGCAGCCTGAAATGTTCCTGCCAAGCAGAGGCGTGTTTCCACAGTATACAAAAAGACACAGCATTCAGAATTAAAACACAAATAAGAACATAAAAAGACTGAGTGACTTGCATTAAGGACCGGTAATCTGAAGAAGCTCAAACGCTCAAGCACACTGAATACATTTATCCAAATAAAACCAAGATAAAAGTTTAAAACAGAGCTAAAACTTTTAAGTTTAAACCCTAAAAGGGGTCAAATACATTTAATCTCTTACAAAGAGAACAAAAGCGATAGTGACAATGCTGAGTTTCTCTAAACATCAATCTGAATATAACCTCGTCTTTCCCCAGCTTATTATATTCAACAGCTCTGTGACCTCCGCTGAGGAAAACCAATATTCTTTTAGATATTTCCTATTTAATAAGGCTTCTGATTTATTTTCTTTCTTGCATAGGGTTCCCTTGAATAACAAATTAAACCAAAACTGCAGGCTGAACACACCGACTGTTAATAATACAGCTTTGTTCCGAAATCAGGGACCTCCAGAGGCACAGTAGACTACACTATCCCGTTTGTATTGCTGCGGCGTCAACTTATCTTTCACACGTCAATACAGGAGAGAGGGCGACAAAAGATAACACTGAACGAAAAATTAAAAAGATAAATAAAACAAATCATTTAAAAAACATACGGCGTGTCAAATAATTTCCACATCAACAACTTTAGAGTAAAAACCTCAAAGTAAATCACTACTACTCTTTACATCAGTGTGGTATTGCATCATCCTCTGCTAATGGAGTCAAATATGTGCAGTTTACACGTGAAACAGAACAAATACAGACTTTGGTTTGGCAGCTGGATTTCTTTTTTAATGTTTAAACCTCTCTTCTTCTTCTTCTGATAGCCCACGTTCAGTGTACAGCCATAACAGCTATACAGCAAACATCTCTGTACTGAATATTAAGTAAATCTCCCCAGCTACAATAATAATTACTATGAACCCAAAAGTTCAGTTCAAAACAAAACACCTATCGCTTAAAGCTGAGGGTGTATCGACGGATATTTCCACTTGGTGCTTGCCAACCAGCTGTTGCAAACTATTCATTCTTGGGCACTCCCAAAATAGTCATCACCCTCACAAACAAAAACCTGCACAGCTAGAACGGCCTTGTTAACTTTCACACTTTGATTTGTCTTGGTTGCAGAGATGCTTTAGGGTACTTTGGGGCGTTGTCTTGCACTTGCCCTTTTATTTTATTTTATTTTTTTTACTGTTGAATCTAGTTTTAATAAACTAGAAAGTCAAATTAGGGCAGTTTAAAGGTAAGTTAAAAACATCCATTTAAAGACATTATATTTCTGGTGTGCGGCTGCAAGTAAAAGCTGAAACCTCATGCGTGGTTTACATGAGAGCAGTAATCAAACACTACTGCTGGCAGTGCCTGATGGTATGAATATGATCGTCCAGATAATCTGCATCAAGTATTGTGCACCGAGCCACGTTATTTAACACTGTAACTCAACACTTTCTGCAGAG